ATTCCAGTCGTGGGAATGATCCCACTGTATTTAGTCTTACAGAAAGAATAAAGTGATCCTTCAATTTGTGAAACTGCATGTCTGTTGAACTGGTACAAGGAGGTTTTCCTATTGCAAGAAGTTTAGACAGCTTAATAATCTAAAAAGAGCTTTTACCCTAAAACATAAGTTCTCTATAGAAACACTGCATTGATCAGTTGCTTTCTGCTTGCATTTAACTTGGAAGTTTGCTGCTTCCACCTCAAACCTGCTGGCATATTGAAAGCTTGACTGCTTTTCCAAACATATCACTCAATTTTTTTAATAAAATTACTACCTTTATATACAAATCTCATCCTGCCGGTACCCTTTAGGCTGAAATAGCTATCTTAAAACACCACTACTACGTAATGATCATAGATTTAATAGCAATTTATGGCATTGTCATACAATAATTCTGTGTTACATACCTTCCATTGTGTTTGTAAGCATGCTGGCTATACTCATTGCTCTTTGCCTTGCACTAGGATCTGTTAGATAGTCCATAGGAACATGATAAGAACTAGACCGTCTCTTCCTTAAGTCAGTTTCTGTAGTAGTGCCCTGAAAATAAAACACCAATGAAATAATCTATTGATGGTTCATTTCTTAAGAATAACACTGTAAATTATTATAGAAGTGTAATGATTTAAAACACACTGCTGTCCTGCTCCATTTATGTCGTGTGCAATAGACTAACACATGCCTAACTGCATATATAGCAAATAGTCAAATACATCAGTAGGATTGCTCTTGTTCTTAAAGAGTTTTAAAGTATTTTGCTGAAAAAGTGCTGAGACATTAAACAGATTTTAGACTATAAGCAGTTTCTGGACTATAAAAGGTTCCACAATGTTTGTCAATGAGCTCTGCTGCTTATTTCTTAAGAAAGAATTAGGCAGTGAAGTCTTTTTTCTAGATACAAAAATTCAAAGCTCATACAGCTAGCAGTAGAAGCACAAAGAGTAAGTGTATTTTTTAAGGTACCTCTTAATTTAGAATGAATTATCAATTTCCTACCATGTTTTCAGACAAAATAAAAGAAAAAAATATTTTACAACGTCGATATCTAAAAAAAACCCCAAACGCTAAAAAAATTAGCTGTTACAGGAACACTGTCACAACACATGTAAGTTGTACTATCAGTGTTACATTAAAAGTTTTGTAGATGTTTTTTTTTTAAATACTCATTTAATATATTCCATTAAGCAAATGCAATTTTATTTTAAAAAATTTATATTCTGTCTGATAAACAAATACAGAACCTTCAGTTAAGTCTTCAGTTAGCATAACCAATCAATGGGTGTAAGGCTACACATACTACATGTATTTGATGGTTTACTGTGATATTCTGTTAATTCCCAGTAAATTAGCACGTTTTCACATATTTAGTTAACGCGAGCTAGACAGTTTCAGTTTCTACTTGAGCTTCTAACTGGAATATAGAAAAGGAGCATTCACAGCTTGGCCAGAAAGGGAATCATTCCCAAGTGATAAAATTTTGCAGAAACGGTAGCTGACCATATGTGGAGAGGACATAATGCCTGAGCTATTGCAGACTTCCTTACATTGCTAGCAGTGGCTGCTTTATCGATCATCACCTCTGGCAGAAGCTGTCCAGCAGGTGACGTCAAAGCTGGTGGCCCACCGACTAAAGAAACTACTCCATTGCAATCCACAGTGCTGTGCATCTTCCCATTTGCTGGAAGTGGAGGTACTGTCCTGGATGACCTACTGGCCTGACTAATGTTACTGTTGCGCCGTTCACCATGTCTATGAGGAACAAAGAGGGAATCTCTTCTGCTCTCATTGTCTTCAAACGTGCTGTGCTCATCATCAGCAAAGTCATTTTCTGATCCCACGTCCTTTGCTCGACCTCTGAAGCTGAAAAGGCTTGTTCTGCTGTTGCGCCTTGGGGAAAACAGGGAGCCACGAATGCTCAGCAAGGACTGCAGGCAAATAAAACCAACGATTATCAGTTGAAAACCATTTTATATATAACATATCCATACAGAGGAAAAAAACCACAGTGTTAATATGTCTCACAGGGTAAGATCATCTACAAAGAAAAGAACTAGTACGGTCCCCCCAACACATTATCTTTTGGGTAGTAAACAAAGACCACGGAAGTGACAGACAAAGACTAGTTATTTTACTATTTTGGATATATGAAATCAATTAATTTAATTAGAGAAAAAGAAACTGCTTGACAGAATTGTTTCCTCTGCCATTCTGCTTGTTTTATTACCAGCTGTTCATAAGCTGAGTAAGCAAATCTTGACACTATTTACCCCAGGTTGGCATTAGTCTGACAGGCTGGGTAGATAAAATTTTAGGCAAATTTCTTGTGACACAGTCTGCACACAGATGTAGCTTCCAAATGCTGACAAGTTTAATAAACACATTTTTTCAGATACCAGTCAGGTAGGACACAATATGGTTTTCATTTCTTTTTTAAAGTCTTGGCTATCCTGAATATGCAAAGGTATGCCTGTAAATTTGTATGAACAAACTTGCTCATCTCCACCAGTTTACTCATGTGAGTAAATGTTCTGCTACGGGAGGATCTTTTCAGGATCAGAGTAAAAATATTGCTCTAATCTTGAAAATAATTATACAGACATTAATGAACTAATTCATATCAGTGATTCTCTTGATTAATTACCATCAGCACCTGATTTCACCCAAGATCTCTATGAACAGCAGAGATGACACATAACAAAGCAGCGTCTTTGTTTCTCTTCTGCAACTTTTCTTTATGGACTTCAACCCCACTGTTCTAGGTACTGTAAAATGCAGAACAAAAAGGCACTCTGCAAAGAACTTATCATCTAAATGTAACACAACAGATGGAAACAAAAGAGAGGGAATACAGGGAGGCAAAATTGATGACTATGATAAACAGTGGTCTTAGCTCACCTGAAGTCACTTCCCTGTCAAGCTTTCTGTAGGCAGCATGGTAAAAGAGAGTTTTAAAGAGGGATTTGAGGAAAGCCATGAAGTGTTCTGTGGAAACTCATGGGAGCTTCTTCCAAACATGAAGGCCAGCACACCAGAAACAAGTGAAAGAAACTAGTTTGAAAATTTAACTGGTGGTTATGGATGCTGGCATGGGTCAGTCAAAGCTGGGACTTGACTTATTTACTGTAAGTACACAAGGTGAGTTCGGAATAACTTTAGGCACAGTATGATTTATGGTATTAAAAAAAAAAAATGTCTTTAGGTAGATATATTTACTAACAGATTAGGTAAAAACAATGAGATAGGTTAGTGCTCTTTGCAATAACATTCTTGATGAATTACAGCAGTAACTGGAACATGGAAAGAGGTCCAAGTTAAAAATTATTCATATTTGTGAGTCCAGAGTAGACTTTATAAAAAGAAAAAAAAAAAGAAAAAAGAAAGAAAATAAAAAAAGGAGAGAAGGGAACTAGCAAAAGGCCTTGTGGAAATCCCTTAGAAAACTGTCAAAGGGGTAAAAGTATCTTCTAAAGCACAATGAAACCAGGAGAATTGAGAAGAGATGAAATTATGAATGTTAGGAAGCATAAGTTTTCAAGAAGAACATAACAGTCAGTTACACTGAAGGCAAGTGAAATGTCACAGAAAACGTCAAAGATGTGATATAAACCTGAGTTTTTTCTAGGAAGAGGTTATTTAAAACTGTAGAGTGGAATTTCTGTTTAGTTGCTAGAAACCAGAGTGAACAAGGAACTAGGGTTTGAAAACCAGAGGGAAGGGGATTGCTAGACGTTTATAGTAAACAGCTGTAAATGAACTTGGAGATGAAAAGGTAAGAGAAGCAGGTTATATGAGGAATGCTTCATTTTTTACAAGGTGGATGAATTGACCTGCAGTTGAATAAGGCTGCAATTTGAATGCAGACACAAGCGAGAATATGAACCTAAGGGATCAGATGTGTCTTCAAACATGAAGTCAGTGGATATAGGTGTGAAAATTTCTATAAGGAACAGAATGAATAATGAACTAACTAAATTCAGCAATGAAGTCTCACACAGATTACTTCGTTAATAACATAAAATGGTGGCAGACCAAGGAAGGGGAAAAAACAAAGGAAGTACAGTAGGAATTAAGTTGAAGGAGGAGTTAACTTGGCAGAAATGGGAAGCTAGAAACACTGTATTCCCACCACTGTATGACCTAAGGAGGGCAATCTTTAATAAGAAAATACTGGGTGAAGAGGTCTGAGGCTTCTTTGTGAATAGGAGCTAGAGGAACTGATACATGAAGAGAATATGAATGCCCATGATCTGTTTAGAGATTAAACAGGCTTTCCAGACACAGTAATAGAAGGGGATTAAAAAGGAAGGAATAAGCTTAATAGTAGTGACTGAAAAGAGGGAGAAAGGAAGTCATAAGGGCCAGGGAGAATCAAGAAGGTGGGGATAAAAGGAAGAAGCATATTAAGGCACACAAAGGGGCAGAAAAAGGATAGAATGGAAGTGTGATCTGGACTTGAAGTGCTGAGGGCAGAGGCAGAGGCTGGAAAATGAAAAGGAGCTTTGAAAACTGTAGAAGGCATAACGTAACAAAACTATCAAACAAAATCAACGTCTGGATAGGAGATGCAGATGGCAGTCTGAGTCACTGGTGTGTCAATGTAAGAGAACACATGCAAGGAAGGACACATCACCACATGTATTTCCAACTTCTTCAAGATAACACAATTAATAGTTTCACAACAAATAATTTGTCAAATTTCACATGAATATTTATGCAATTTCTATTTTTTTTTGCAACTCAAATTTTAGTACTTTTCTAATTTAAAGCGTGAAATTCCTTTGTATGTTTGCACCAAATTCTGGAGTCACAGATCATGATGAATACATCCATCTTGATGGGGAGATAGGTCCATTTTCTTTGAAATGTACTTGAAATACAACTAATTTTAATTAATACACATTATTTTTATTTTTCACATATAAATTCAGAATAAACCCAAAACCTCTTAAATTCTTACATTTTCATCTTTGGCTGCAAGTATTAACTTGATCATACTTTGATTCAAGATATTAAAGAATCTGTGGTATCTTTTGCAAGGATTGACCAAAGTACATTACAGGGTTTTGTTTATACAATGAGTCGACAACAAAGCTGTTTAAGAGGCAATAATACTATGGTACCTGGTGTGGGGAAGAGAATCTCTTTTCGTATGTCAGTCTATTCCCCTCAATGGAAAAACGGAAACCTTTCCTTTTGATGCTGTCCTCTGATTCAGATTTGTGAAATTCTTCCCCATCCTTCTCCTCGCCTTCAGATTGTTCTTTTTGCTTTTTTTTCTTTCTTCTATTCCTCCTCTCTTTAGCACTCTTTGAGCTCAGTTTTGATGCCTCAGAAGAACTTTCGGAGAATCCACCTATTCCACCTACTCCACTATAATCTCTTGAGTCAGCTGCTGCAGCTGCTGCTGCTGCCTATACGTACAAGCACATAGGCAATTTACAACATTTATACAACCACACACCATTCTCTAGTTTAAATTTATTGCCATTCTTTAAAAAATATTTATTTTTAAATAAAAAGAAGAATCCCACTTCACTGAACCCCGCATATCGCAAGAAGTATAATTTGTGAAGTACCACAGGAACCATAATTTGCCATTGCTCCATAAACCAGGAGTTAGAGCAGCCTAAGGGAAAACTGTGCTTTCAGAGAACCAAGTTAACAAGCATTTGGTTTAGATTGGAGCAATATGTGGCGTTGAATTTTTCACCTGAAACACTATATAAAAGTAAATAATCAAGGCTCAAAAATATTCAAAAATCCCTGTTAACAAGCAGCAAAACTTTCTTACACCATTTTTCAGGAATTTGAATACTCTCTAGTCTATTAAGGATCTGGTATAACATTTTTTATCTCAGTTTTGCAAATCATAATCAGAGATTTAAGTTAAACTGCAGGTTATTAGAGATCTGTTGCTGTTTGAAGTTTCAAATATTTGCGAAGCACTTGACTAACATTTTTTACAACTTGTGGTTAAAAAACAAACAAACAAACCAGATACAAACTGACCAAACTAACAAAAAAAACACTATTCCTGACTTTTAGTCATATGCTTACATGAAAGACAGTTCAACTTCTGCTCTATGTGACCCCATACCAAAAAGATATTATCAATTATCCTCTTAAAGATTTAAGAGTTTTCAAAAAATGAAAAGGAATTTCAAGGCAGTATGCAATCATGTCTGTAGCACAGAAGAGTTTTCTCCAGTTTTCACTTTTTCCAGTTTTCTCTAAAACTGGAACACACTATGGCTTTCTGCTGTGAGAGCTGGGGAAGGAGGAGAAAAAGCCAAATATTGCTGAAGCAAAATATTTCACCCACAACACCTACAATAGTTTTGCTTCTCTTACTTAAAAAAGCAGAATTCCTGTGGGGTTTTTTTTCCCCACATTGCCATCTCCATTTCACAGAATCACAGAAGGGTTGAGGTTGGAAAGGAACCTCTGGAGGTCATCGTCTCCAACTTCCCAGCACAAACAGGGTCATATAAGGCAGGCTGACCAGCACCATGTCCAGATGGCTTTTTATTATCTCCAAGGATGGTGATTGCACAAGCACTCTGGGGAACCTTTTCAAGTGCTCAGTAAAAAAGTTTATTTCCATTTCCAATTTGAAAATCCAGTATTTTAGCTAATTGGTTTTCATTTTTGTCAAAGATTAACAGGTTCACTCAAGCCAGCAGAAACAACGCAACAGAAAGCATTAAAGACTATTTGAAAAAATGAAGTTATTTAAAAGACTGAAGGCAATATACAATTAGGAGTAAGGGAGTAATAGTATTCTCATATGTGGACATAAAACATCTGATCACAGTCATGAAGGGGAGGAGGCATTTTACTTTACGGGGATACCTGAGCTTCTTCCTGTTGCTTTTTCAGCTGTTCCAGCATTTGCTGAAATTCCGCCTCTTTCTGCTCTGCTTCTTCCATGGTTGCTTGATTCTGTTCTTCATAGGCCATGGCAACCACAGCCAGGATCAAATTAATCAGGTAGAAAGAGCCCAGGAAAATGACCAAAACAAAAAATATCATATATGTTTTCCCAGCAGCACGCAGTGTCTGGAGAAAAAGAGGTAATACACATTTTTAGCAGGCTTTTAAATACAGTAGCATCTGTGTTATATTCTAGGAATACATTATAAGATTGCTTTGTGGTAGCACAAGATTATTTAGTTACTTCTTCCATATACAAATAGCATTATACCCTGGCTACATGCACAAAAATCTTAAGCCTTGTGTCTGGAGCTTGAATACTTCTGAACTGCTACCACTGAGAGTCTGTAGCAGCAGTTGCTGCCCCCACTACAACAGCTATATTACAACCTCTAACAGTAGTGGGGCCACTAACCAGCATCTTACCTTCTTGTCTCATCAGTCCTGAACTACAATGCCAAAAAGACAGTGCATTATACAAAATATGCTGCACAACATCTTTATCCTTCAGGTTAAGGATATGTGTAGTTCAGGGACAAGATGTAACCTTTTCAGAGACAACATATTTGTACTAGACAGCAAACGAATTTAACTAGCATATCTTTACAGCATTTTTGGGCAAGAAGCTTTAATGACTTAAGCTCATTTACTCATTTGTAAAAAGAAACAGTAATGCTCCACCATCTCCACAGAATAGCAGCTACTTCTTATTATGTATTTGCATAGCACATGGGAACCGAAATCATGAGTAAGGGCCCTATTGTTTTAGACAGTTTACATATATGAAATAAAAGATGATTTCTGTCCCAAAGGCCTTAGGGACATGTGAATGAAAATAACTATGCAAGTACTATGTAGCAATGGTATTGGTGATGGTGCTTTTTATTTTAATAAGTCCTCACCAGCTGGTAAAGATTCTCCCAAAAGTCCTGAGTCATCAATCGAAACAGTGACAAGAATGCCCAACTGAATGTATCAAAACTTGTGTAGCCATAGTTGGGGTTTCTACCAGCTTTCACACATATATATCCTTCTGGACATTGACTACAAAAGAAGAGGAAATGCTATTTTTAACAACTACTCTAAATTACGATATGCTATAGTAAATCACAAAATTGTTCAGGAGTACCAGTTGCTAATGAAACTATGAACAAATAAAATTTTTTTCCACATACCTATGATAAACATATACATATATATATTTCATTGGTTTTCAATTTTTAATTCAATTTTCTAATGATATTTCAATGCTTTAATAATATAACTAGTAGTCTTCTACCCTTCCCCACAATTCATCATACCAACACACCTCCACCAGGACAAGAGAAGAATGTCAGCAAGCTGGCAGCAACATTTATGCACATAGCATTCATGTGGTTACCTTCACAAAATTAGCCTAAGATGCTGATAAAAGTGCCTGTGCAAAATCACATAGATGGTTATATTTAGGTATAGCTTCAGTTGAAAAACATGAGTAATTTACAGCTCTATGGTACAGCTGACACTGAAGTTGACCACCTGAGCTATTCTAAGTAGATAATTATAATTTCATGATGCATAACGAAAAACTATGATAATTTTCTTACCCTGCATCTGAGCTATTGCCACACAGCAGAGCATCATTTTGTCCTTCCAAGAAGTAGAAATGATCTGGGTTTAACAAAACAACAACAAAAAGTGATGAGAAAAACAACACTTATAACTAATGCAAACTGAGCAATGATATAGTTTTTTAAAGTTTAAAGAAATAAGCAAAGCTAATAGTTTAACTGCCGTATGTAACGATCAGGAATGAAAAAAAAGCATGGAAAATATTGTTTTGACAGGAAAATTACTTTCCACAGAGTCTTAGAGCTGGCCTTTCTTTAGAAAACGGAAAGGTAGTAGTTCAGCTAATTCTCAGTAACCTACTCAGATGAATAAGATACAACGTGTGGAATACTAAATTCTGAATGTCAGCTCATGAGTTAACGAATATGAAGAAAATGAGACAAAGGATGAAGGCAATTCCCTGCCTTTGTTACTGCATTGTGATATATACCATTTAGTGTTATTCATTTATAATTTTTCATTACATACTATTTTACCTAAATATTACTTGAAAAAGTACTGAAATTTTTGCAGCACAAAAACATACCACAACATGCACAAGAAATTTCTATCTGGATCTTGATGAGCAGCTGAGGAAGAAACTAAGCTTTTATTGTATATTACAAAAAGTTACTACACAAAATTCTATAGCAGAGGAATGTAGTTGAAGTATCTGCATGTATTTTGTTAATAGGCTAACTATTAAAATGAGGTAAAACATAATTTAAAGATAATTAAGTATTAAAAGTCTCAGCACATTCTTTTCTTCTGATTTGAGGCAGAAAGGGAAAGCCAATTTACCATCCATTCCTAGTTTAGGATTCTTATGGTAAAATGGGAATCTCTAGTGGAGATTTTTGGGTCAGGTGGCATATTAAGCTAAAGTTGCCAAAATTAGGTATGTGCTGGCTGTTCTCAGGAAGCAGATGGTTCCTTGAGATTCACTGCCAGCTGGCATGGACAAGCTTAGCTGGCATTGACTGAGGTCTAATGCTAAAAAGACAAGCAGGGAATTGCAACCAGTTCCTACTGACTGCTTCTGTTTATTTTAAAGAGAGAGATTATGTGCATAATGTATGCATCTGAAATCTATTCTTAGGTATCAGATAAGAAAACAGTGGATTTTCAGACATTCCATAGTCATGCCCTGTGAGAGATCTAACCTCTACTTAAAGCTTACAAAGTTTAAAGATGCAGATAGCCTCCAAGCTAGATTTTCAAACTAGACTGTGGGCATAGTTCACATTCTTATGTATCACAGCTCCTACTTGGGTAAGCAGAGGTTCTTGTTAAACCATCCAGTTAGCTCAGCTCTCAGCCCACTATTTTGGAAAACCTTTAAATAATGTTGTTTGCTCGCTTTTTAATACAAAGACGATAATTATAAAGATGATAATTATAAAGTAATAAAAATCGTTAATATGAGTTTATTAAAACATACAACATTCTCGACTCAGGACAGCTTAGTAACAGGACAACAGTTACAGGCACAAGTCCTACATGACACTTTAATAACCAAAAAAGGAGATACATTCTGGCTGGAATAATCACAAAATATTTGAAAAAAACACTCTCAGTGAGCAGTTGCCAGTGACCCAATGTCAATTCATAAGGGCATCCTTCTGAAGACCCTCCAGGGACCTGTGCTATACACAGTTTTCATAACAAGTTTCATTACCAAATCAAGATGTGAATGAAGTAAGAGAAAAAAATGCATCAAGTATTCTGAAGACATCAAGCTAGGAGAGAAGATGATTGAAATCTAAAATGACCTTTACTAACTGACTAGCTGGTCCAAAAGCAATTGGACTTATTTCAACAGAAAGAAGTGGAAGATGCTACAGCTGATAAGGCAAAATCAAATATGTAAATGCAAAACAGACGGGATCTGACCACAGCTGCTTCTGTACAAAAACATGCAGCGACTGTAGTGAACTGCAAGTTGACTGTGAATCGACAATACGTGCAGATACAAAAATTATGTAAGTTTGAGACGTCTTAATAGCAATGTTCCACATATGTCATATGAGGTGACTACTTCTAATTTGTACCTTTATTAGAGGAGTAAATATGAGATCTGAGCACCTCAGTTAAAAAAAAAAAAAAAAAAAAAAAGAAATCCAAACCCAAAACATAACAACAAAATGTAAAAAAACCCAAGGTAATTGGAAAGAGTCCAGAAAAACAAGAAAATGTGAAAATATTTATAGAAAATGCAAAACAGAAAATAGGATTGATTGGTCTAGAAAAGACCAGAAATAAAGAAGATAACAGTTTTAATATATCATGAGGACTAATACAAAATAGTCTATGATTATCTTATTTCTAAATCCAGAGGAGAAGTAGCAATATATTCAATCTGAAAGTAGGAAAATTTAGGTCAGGTATTTAGAAAAAGCCTTCTGTTTGTGTCATGTAGTAGGATCATTTAAAGGAGAATTAATGGAATCTGTTCTTCAGATGCTTTTAGGAACAGGTTATCATCCAAAATCTTCTCCAAGATGACATCTTTTATGATACTACAAGCATACTGAGATGTTAAGTATATTAAAAGATTATAAGGCAATAAGACTTGAATCCAAAAGCATTTAGCTATTAAGCTGAGGTTTCCTAACTTTCAGTGATACAGACATCAGTTACAACATTTATATAGACTTTAAAAAAACCCTAAGATTATGCCTAATCACTAAGTTAAAACCCTAAACACAATAAATAGGAGGGATTGAATAGATAAATAGGAGAGACTGAAGCTATTTACCATTATGAAAGACAGAACAGCAGTCTACTCTAGGAATGATCAGAGAAGTTGTATCTGAATTTTAAAACAATTTCTGTCAATGCAGTAGTGACATGAACTACCTAAAATGGTGAAAATACTGTATTATGAGGTACAAAGGAGACTGAAAGGCTAATTTATTGATTTTCCACAGAGAAGAAACAAAGATAAGATACATAATATGTTCTTATAGTTCTAATAGCTCTTATTTCACTAGAATAAGAAGCATGGGATAAATCACACGCTCTCATAAAGGCATGTCCGTGTTGTGCAAGGGAGTGTGGTGCAGAGTCTCCTCACCGATCCAGAAGAAATGATGTAGCTGCATTTACATTCTATGGCAGAATTCAGGATTTAACTGACATTCAAAAGTGGATTTATGATATTGGGCATTATCTTGCACTAATGTAGACATAGGATTTCAGAACCCTTATTAGGACTGTCACACTATTTCAGGAGGCTTGAAATTTCTGCTTGGTGCTGAAACGTGGATTTACCCTAAAAGTCATATTCAGCAAAAGGTATGCAGTTCTGGGCACTGGTACCCAGCACAACATATGAGAATGTTAAACTACATTATTATATACTATATATTATATATCATATATCAGATATTAGATATTAGATAGATGAGAATACATGAGAATCTTAAACTACATGATGACTGTTGCTTTGTTTACTACACAAAACGAATGTTTTTATGTCCCTTGGCCAGATTACACCATTTTGAATGCAATGGAAAGATATTGATTTTTTTTATCAGTTTAAAAAAAAATCCAGAAAAATCAATGCAGTAGAGGACATAATTAACTCTTACTTCTGTCTTCGATGTACTCATCCCAGTTGAATGTTGTCATTGTTGTATTAATAAATGTACCATTTTCACCTATAGAGCTATTAAAGTAGGAAATAACAGTTGTTTCAAAAGTAGAATTGTCTGGAGGCCACTGCAGGCATTTATTCCTCAAGTTGCCCATGAACAGCTGCAGCCCTATTAGTGCAAATACACTCAGACAAAACACAGTCAGGATCATTACGTCCGAGAGCTTCTTCACAGACTGAATTAGGGCTCCTACAATAGTCTTCAAGCCTGCAAAGAGAAAAGATTTTTATTATGATGTTAAACAGATGTTAAACACCAAAAACAATATTATTTTTCCTGACAAGATAAAGAAGTCATGCAAAATGACAACTGAGTCTAATATTTGTGATACAATAATTTTCCTGAAAAGCCTTATTAATTGTGAAGATGAATGAAAAGCTGCAAGTTTATGCTTACTTTATAGAGTAGAGAAGTAAAAAGTAGATAGTATCAAACACATTATGCCAAAACGTGATTTTTTTCATGCTATTATCTCAACCCTACATAGAAAAGCATTGCTTGCTTTTGTTGATGCTTCTTGCCCAAACCTTTATAGATGAACTTTTTTAAAATTCAGCACTAGTAAACTCATTATAAAGATATTTTAAGTGCATATTTGACTGATACCATAATAATCTTATTACAATATAAAAGGGGCGATGGTTTGGAGAAGAAAGACATCTTTAAACAATACCCCATGCATGGCCCATGCTATCCTTTAGAATTTCATTTTTTATACATGACTTAAAACTAAATTAAGTTGCTACATTAAGTGCCTGAAATAGATGAAAAAATTTGCATCAATATGAAAGCTTAAAATTGGCTTATATTTCAAACATGTAAAGGAAAGCTTGATGTCATAAGATGCAAATCACATAGGCTGTTTACTGCAAATATCTCATGCAAGAATTTGTTAAACTCAAAGGCTGATTTTTTTAAAAAGAAAATACAATACAAGAAAAGCAAGAATCAACTTAAAATTACATGTCTTGATTCCTGCTTTTTCATTTTGTTAACAACGTGTAGCAAACAAGGCTTAGGCTTTAAAAATGTGAGTACAGCCTTTCAGAACAAAAGTCAGCCTCAGTGTTTAACCTAGCTCTCACCTGGAATGACTGATATTGTTTTCAAAGCTCGGAGAACTCTGAATGTTCTCAACGCTGAGACATTGCCCAGGTCCACAAACTCTGTCACATATCTGTAATAGGGGAGTTCACACACAAACACAATGACAGCACACAAATAACAGTTGGAGATACGAGGGGCCTAACACCTTACACCAACTACTTCTTACCTGGGATTACAGAAATAGTTTTCAAAGCTCTCAATACTCTGAAAGTTCGAAGAGCTGAAACATTGCCTAGGTTTACAAATTCTGTTACATACCTGTAGGATTAAATCACAGTTACTCAGAATTGAGGCAGAGCTTATCCTATTCGCTTGGGTCTTTCATCAAGACCTTTTCACCGTTCACTGTATTTTGCCTGTGTTATAAATATGCTTCTGATCATAAGATTAAACTAAGTTTTATCAAAATAAACTACATTAACTCGATGTTTGAAACCTAATTTGGTGAGTTCATAGCAGGAAGTCAAAAGGATTCCTTTAATTCTGGTATGCAGAAAGAAGACAGCATATGAATACTTTGGGCTGATGGCATTCACAATCCTAATGGGCTGGCACACCATGCTGCCCTCTGCAGCACATGCTTATTTAGAAATACTAAAATGTGTAAAAGAAGCAGAAGAAACATATTGAAACTGCAGGAAGTCCAGGCTCCAAATGTTCTGGCTGACAAAATATGAGGCAATTTTTAGTCACTAATTTCATGCTCTCAGAAAGACTTTTTTTTTTTTTTTTGGTTAAAAAAAAATAAAATTGAAAACTTACGCAAAGGTAATGACAGTGAAATCTAGCCAATTCCATGGGTCTCGAAGAAACGTAAAATCTTCTAAGCAGAAGCCCCTTGCAAGAATTTTAATAAGTGATTCAAAGGTATAAATTCCGGTGAATGTGTATCTGAGGAAAATATGCAAGACAGACTTTACAGAAACAGATACGTTATCTTTACACATTATGCTGTCTAGTTGCTTTATTCTCATTTTTTTCTCTTTAAGTGGCATAGGAATTTGATGGAAGTTACAACCAGCTGTAAACATCTGCAGAATTTGTACCATAAGGTTTTTATGAAATTATGATTAAAAGAGTAAATGACGACCTATATTTTAAGTTCCAATTCTATAATCTATATCTATGAGACCATTGCAAAATTCCCAGTTATTTCACTGGTCCATGTTTATGTCCAGTTTGAATCCATGTGAGGCAATCCCAGGCACCAATACAG